TGCTATCAGATTAGTCATCAATGTTAAAATATACGTTATAAAATAAACGGTTATCATAATAGATAATCGTTAGTCATCAAAATAAGTAGCAATATATTGTAATAACTAATAAAAAAAATATCTGATTAAATTATAAATAATTTCAAAATTATTTTAATAGATCGCAAGCATGTACAGTACGCGATCAAATTCTATGGGAAGAACGAAACGATGAGAAACGAATTCGACTAGGCGGCAGAGGTTCGGAAAAAAATCGCAAAAAACTCGCTGAACTTGAGGCTCAGCTGGTATTAGCTTCGCCGAACTTAGTCCTGCGCGTGGCGCACAAAAGTCAGCAGAATCGAGTACAAAATTCTTATACTTTCTTCCTGTCCAGCGAGTTTGAGCGTTCTCAATGGGTGGAAGCGGTAGAGGCATTACAACAGGTCATTTAATCTCTCATTAAGATTATTAGTTAATTAATTAGTTGATTAATCAATATATTTCATATATTACAAATATATATATATTGTTGCTATTGAATTGTATTTGATTAAAAAAAAATTTATATTATTGATACTTTATAGGGTGGACAACCTCCAGGGCAGCTGCCATTGTCGATGTATGAACTGCAAGCTTGGGTCACTGCCTGTCGAACGTATTTGCAGACTGATATGGGTAGCTATTTGTTGAGATCAGGACGCGATGAAAGTTTGTTGCTGGGCGATCTTCATTTGACCTTGCTTGGTTTGACTCCACCAGGCTTAGACAGAGTAGGTGATCTCTATATCATTGTAGAAGTTGATAGTTATGGACACTACTTCAAAAGAGCGCGAAGTCGCATCGCCAGAGGTCAAGCTCCGATTTGGGGTGAGAAATCTTCTGTTTTATATTAATGTATAATATCTATTTAATATCAATTTATATCTTATTAAACATAAATAAAATTGTGCTTAAAATTAAATTTTTTACTATTATGATCATATATTAAAGTTTTCTATTTTAATTAAATTTAATTAAATTTTTTTATTTAAATTAAAACACAGGCGAGACTTTTGTAGTAGAGTTGGAGGGAAGCCAGAACGTTAGGATTCTATTGTACGAGGAATGCGGTACACGCTCAGTATTGCGAGGCAAGTGCATTCAACGGTTGAGCAGATCTTGGCTCCAATCTGATCAGGTAGAGAGATCATTAAACTTGGGACCTGCGACATTGGACGTAGCATTACGTTTTGTTCCCAGCGAAGTCACTTTGAGGCGAGTGCCATCGGCCAAGCCACAGGGCTTATTTGGGGCCAAAATCCAACAAGTTTGCAAGTACGTGATTTCAAGTCGAAATAGAAAATTAAAAAGTCGACTAATTTTTTTTCTTTTTCATTGAATTTTTGGTTAAGAGAAATTAACTAAATATTAAATAATAAAAAATCCGTAATTGAAATGAATAGAAAATCTCTTATTTCTTTTTAACAAACAGTTTCTCTGAATCTCTCGATTTATTTATGAAATAAGTTTCAAGATTTATTTTTAATTGACTTGTTAATAATTATACTCTCACAATTTTCACAGGCGAGAGAAACGCGATGTGCCTTTCATAATAACAGCATGCGTGCGAGAAGTGGAAAGACGTGGTGTTGGCGAAGTAGGTTTGTATCGTGTTTCTGGCTCGGCGTCCGATGTGGCAAGGCTACGCAAATCGTTCGAAAGCAATTCGTACGAAGCAGAGCAGCTACTTAAAGAGGTACATTTGTATTTCTTGTATTTTTCATGTTCGTAATTAGGCAACAGAATGGTCTCTTATTGATATTTTTATGCGAACGTGTATCTAGGTGGACGTGCACTCGGTAACAGGAGTATTAAAACTATATTTGCGTGAAATGCCGGAGGCACTGTTCACTGATGCCCTTTATCCGGCATTCCTGGAGGCCTTTCAAACGGGCGATTTGTCACGAGGTGCCGCTCTGCGTCGAGTTTATGAGAGCTTACCTGCCGTCAACAAAGCGGTAATCGACTTCTTGTTGGCGCATTTGGCACGTGTGAATAAACACGAGACACAGAACAAAATGTCACTGCACAATCTGGCTACAGTGTTCGGGCCCACATTATTGCGTCCTGGAACCAGTAACTCACGCAGCGACGCTAAAAGCCGCGATCCTCTCGCTGCCGGTACCGTCGACGTGATGGCGCAAGCTGGCATTCTCTACTGCTTCTTGCAGTTACACATGCAACAACAGAACAATCAATCTCTCTAGTCGACAAAATCCCCCCTGATCCTGAATGCGATTAAAGTTGCTGTTTGATTTGAAAACGGTAACGCGACCACTTTCTTCCTGATAAAGCAAATGCCGAAAAGACGATGTATGATGGTGTCTGAAGAACAGCCTGATAACTCATCGGTATTGTTATACTTAATCTTAGAATCAATTTATTGAATTTAAAAAACGTTTTTATTTTTATTGTATAATATATATAAATGTTATAATATATTATGGTTCATGCTATATAGCATTTATATATATTATACGTAACGAATAATTATATTGTCAAAAAGAATTTATAATGTTCTACATAAAGAAGTTAAACATTTTTCATTTGCGTTAAAACTTTTTTTTTGTATTAGATAATTAATGTATTATAAGATTTTCTTTAACAAATTTCAACAAAATGACTGAAATTTTTATTATTATTTTTTGTTAATACACTTGATTAAATTAAAACAATCGATTTCCGTCCTTCAAACACCTGTCAGATATATCTTTTGTATTGTGCGGTAGCACAATAATCTATTCGCATTGTTAATCTTTTTTATAGACGTTAGCATGACGTATCTGTATTCGTGATCCTGAGGTAGAGTCTGGAAACGTATTAAAGCGAATAGAGTGGCTTTGAAACCCTCCATACGAGGAAACTCCTATACTCCATACGCGTGCAAAGTAATGTAGCCGAGCTGCTCTTATAGAACGTATATAGCGTAATATTAACAATAATATATATA